TTTACTTCTAATTATTGCTATAATGCTACAATGTGTAGGTGTCTTTGACAAAATAGTTAAAAAAAAAAAATACACTATTTTTGCCTATCCAAGGCCCTAAGCAACATGTAGACGATCTGATCACTTTGCATGGTACCAAACAATAATATTTTAAGCTATATGCATGCATCTGTGTTTACTGCACTCCAAATTTCTATTCATGCAAGTACTTTAATCTATATTTGCAAGTACTCCTCTGATATTGTGCACCTAAAGTTGTATACATATCTTATCAGTTAATATGTATCCTGCAACAATTTTGATGTATTCTTGTGTTTAGATTTCAACATAAGTGCAACTAAATGTTAGATAATGTTCTCTCATTTTGCAGTCTGCCTTGATTGTCATTTAAAATAATTCTGCAACAACTTCATTCTACTGATGCATCTAGATGACAATATACATGCACCTACTATAACACAATTTACCTTTTAAATTACTTTAGTTTATATATGAGATTAACCTTTTTTTATTTGAAAAATAACTCTCACAGGACAAAAAAGATACAAAGAAGGCTCCAGGAAATCTAAACGACATGCTAAAAAATTAAAGAAATCAACTGAACATATGGTAATTGATGACTCACCTGAAGAGTGCACCCCTGAAGAACCCCAACCGGGAGAACCTTATCAAGAAGAACCCCAGCCGGAAGAAACTAATCAAGAAGAGCCCCAACCTACGGAATCTAAGCAATCTGAACATGAAGAACCAAAACAATCCGAACCAGAAGAACCACAACGTGCAGAATCTAAACAGGAACAATCCCAAGCTGAAGAACAAGAACAAGAAGAATCCCAAACTGAAGAACAAGAACAAGAAGAATCCCAAAATGAACACAATGAATCCACAGAGGGGTCTGATGATGAAGAAACCCAACTTGTTCAAGAAACAAACACACAAGCAGAAGACAAAACATACAACGCTGTTTCTTACATACACACAAGCAGAAGAGCAACCCCATACCAACTTATAAAAGCTTTTGAGAAATTCACTGATCAACAATGGCAGAGTGTAAGAGAGATGGGGTTTGAGCAACTGCGTCATCAACACATTTCAAAAGTCCCTGGCAAAATGGGATGGTGGCTTGTAAACAACTATGACCCACGCAGCTCTTGTTTACGTGTGAGGGATGGAAAGGAGCTGCACATCACAGTTAAGGATGTAGCCCAAGCACTGGGGTTTCCTAATGGAAGAATAAAAATTGAGAGAAGATGTAAAGGAGATGTCAATAACACCTTACTTGAGGAATGGAAGAAAGTGTTGGCCAGAAAAGATTTGAATATAACACCTCAGAAGTTGTGTGCAGCAATGCTAGCTTGCAAGAGTGGCAGGGAATGGTTCAAACGTCATCTTGCCATACTGATAACAACAATGTTTGTAGAGGGCAGTACAACTGGCTATGTCAACACACACCTGATAAAGAATTTTGCAAATGTGGATGACATTAGTAAGCTCAATTGGTGTGAGTATCTACTCAGCGCATTGGTCACCAGCAAAATTGCATGGGCCAAAAATACATCACAAAAGTTCACTGGGTCTATACTATTCCTGGCGGTAAGTGTCTTTATGAACGAGACACACAACTACGAGTGATTACTAAAGCAAAACTAAACATTGTTTTATATATTTTGCAGGTTTTTTATGTTGACAGAGTTGTGCTTTGCAACAGAACAGTACCTAGGGCATTGCCAGCATTCAAAGGATGGGACACGCGTCTACTGAACCAGAGGGAAAAGGCTGAGATTAGTTTGGGTGGTTTTGGCTATGGCTACATTGATGAGGCACATGAAGAAGTCCTGCAACTGACAGACACAAACAAATCCCAAGATGATGATCAAGACCAGCAGGTAAATATCAATAATCTTATGTTATGCAACTAGATTAAATTATATGTGCATGAAGTTATATGTATTAGTGCACATAGAATTTTGTAACCAAAAAAAAGTAATAAACGGTTAACTAGTTGATTAAATACATCCCTATACATGGTTAATACTTCTTGTGTGCATAAATCATGCATACCACATCAATATAATGTTTGAACAATATTAAAATGTTAATAATACATTGTGTGCAATTAATTTATTTTGTATATGCATGTACACCCTAGAATTTGTGCACTCAAAGTATTAACACATGCTTTTACTAACTGCAAAAAAAAAAAAAAAAAAAAAAAAAAAAAAAAAGAAGAAGAGTTATATGCACAGGTTTGCCAAAAAGATAAAACTTCTAGCAAAAACAATGCTTGAAGTAATGGAAATGACGCAAGAGGCACCTGAGCATACAGATGAAGATGAGAACTTCAAGCAAATGGCGAAATCTGCACAGAAACTGCTTGGAATTCCAAACCCTGATGTTACATTGACCCAACAAAATGGAGAGTTCGGGAACAACCCAGAGTTCATTGCTGCATTTGATGCAATTGATGATGCAATCACCATAAGAGAGCAGTACAGGAACAAGGTAGCAGAGGGACCAAGTTTCAGCTTGGGGCTGACTCAAGAAGAGATTGAAAATGCAATTCGAAATGTCACAAGGACTGCAGCAGATTCAAGCTTTAAAACACCTCTTAACCCTTCACCTGATGAGGCAACACCAGACCAAGATACAAGACAGGAACAAACAGAAGAGCAAACACAGATGACTGTTGATGAGGTAATGAAACTTTAAAAACTTACTTGCATTATTACAATATACTACTTGCACTTTGTGATCAAAGTAGTTGCACTGTATCATTATAGATTCTGCCTGAACAACCACAACCACAACAGGAAGAGCCAGCAGTGGCAGTTGATAAGAATGTACCAAAACAACCTCAGGCACTGCAACCAAGGGCTGAGAAGCGGCAAGTGAAAATCACCAATCCATTGAAGTCCTCGTACTTGACTAGAACAGTTGATGTTCACCGAGCATGGAATAACAATGAAAAAATGATTGCCAAATGGGTTCTATAGAATCCCAATGTTGAACCGTAAGACTATATAACTAACAGTGTTGGTCCATCAATATATTAAAGTCTCTACTGTCTTTGCTTATTATTATTATTATTATTATTATTATTATTATTATTATTATTATTATTTACAAACAAAACAAAAGAGATTTTCAAATATGGTGATAAGGCAATCATATTGGATGACATGTTATCCATGGCCATTGATAAGGAGATTAAGGTTGGAGTCGTAGATGCCTGGTCTACAATTCTAAACTATAAAGAAAGGGCCCGTAGCAATACCTCACCTGGCAGATTTTTTGCAACAACATTCGTATGCGTAAGTTTTACAACAACTATAATAACCTTACATATAAAAAAAAAAATTTGTAAAATGCACCCTAACATCTACATTTATTGCAGCTTTTCACGATTGTAGCCCCCTACGGTGACCATGCATTGAGGTTTAGAAGATTTTCAAAGAGATTGGATGGTGAAATTGGAGTGACAGAAGGATTAAGCCTTGAAAATATTGAGTTGGTAAGCTACACACTATATACGCAATGGTACAAATAACTTATATCAATATTGCAATAAACTATATCTATTTGTTCAACTAAATTACTAATTCTATGCTTTCAAACAATTTATGTTCCCCATTGTACATGCTGAGCACTACTATGTCCTCATCATAAATTTCAAAAATAAAAGATTTGACATCTTGGACAATTCATCAATTGAAGGCCCAAAGTATGCAGATATCCCACAATCACTGGTAATGTTACTCAACCAATTTCATAAAATTTAATGCTTTTAACATTGATAGTTTGTATACTAACAATTACAAGTAATACAGACAAATATGCTGGCAGAGTACTTCCAATCCAAAAATGATTATGCAAAAAGCAAACTTGTACGGGGACTAACACCATCAAGACTTGAAATGAGCTGGAGAGATGATGAGAACAAAGTTGGTTGTGGTGTGTTCGCCATTATGCGACACATGGAGACATATATGGGGAAAGGTGTGAGGGGTTGGGACTGTGGGATTGAAAAAGGAAATCGAGAACAGCTAAACAACCTGCGGGTGAAGTACCTTGCAGAGATCGTTAACGGCCCAGTCAATGAACAGCGAGAGGAATGCATGAAGCTTGCCAGAAATTTCCAAAAGGCCTCAAAGTTAAAGAAGTGACGGACACCTAATTGTTTTTTTTTTCTTTGTGAACGTCTGTGAATGTGTTTTTGGTGCAGGCAACTAAATCTTTAAACAAACCAATTTTTGAGTTGCCTTTGAATTTAGTAACTACTTTTGGAATGTTGACTATATGAAGTCATACTTGTGTGCAAGTACTAGTAGCATAAGTGCTTGTACTCTACTGTAAGGCATATCTAGTAACCTAGTTGTGGAAGGAATGCACCCAGTTATACTTGTAAGCGCATATAGTTGATATACTAGTGCACCTAACATTTACTGTCAGATCAATGCAATCACCTTTTGTTATAAATGCATGTAATTGTTTATATTAACGCAATTAGATCTGCTATATTTCCATATATGCTAAAACTACTTCCATTTCTCTACTAAGCCACATGTACAACACATCTTCCTTGTTAAAGCAAATAATTTTTCCTACAAGTGCAATTAAATATGCTTTTAATTGCATACAATATACTACACTATTAATAATCATATTTTTATATGAAAGTGCACAAATAAACTCTGCAACCGTTTTTCTTAGTAAATGCATTTAATTGTTTATATTATAACAATTATACTTGTAATCAACTTTCATGTAATCTTCACAAGTAATCATGCAACAATTAGTGCATGTAATCTGCAATAAAACTGCATGTAATCTTCTATATTAGTGTAACAACAATACACAACATCCTAACACGAGATACCAGCACTGGATTATTCCATCTAAGCTAAGAACTACTTCCATAACTACTAAACCAACATTATAAAGAATCCCTCGTAGTCATATTTTGACAACAAAAAATGTAAATAAAATTGTATCTAGAGTATCTATAAACTGCACACCTTATCCTTCGTTTTCCTCAATACACAATTCCTACTATCATGATTAGGTTTGTTGCAAGTCTTGCAAGTCCTCTCCTTCTTACTTTGTTCAATGGCAATCTCCTTGCAACCTTTAATGCGCCTACCACTACCCTTGTTCTTTGCTTTGTTTGGTGGAAGAATGGAAACTTTGGAAGGGACTGAAGAACCACATATTGACTCGATGACTGACCTCTTATCAACAGTAGAAGAACAGCCACCCTTATCATCCAAAAGCATATCCTTGTGGTCCTTAATGATCTGGGAAAACACTTTCAAATGATCAATGTCAGACTGAACCATACTAACACAGCATTGAATATCTAACCACACATTTCTCAATATCACCAACTTCTCATCAACACCTCCACATTGATCAACAACAACACCATCAATATCAAAAGTTTGACCCAATGATGCACTCTTGGTCCACCGGTTAACTACATAGACCAATGGAATTGAATCCAAGTTCAAATCTTTGAAAACTACAAAAATATGCCTACAAAGCAACCCTACCCTTTCAAACAGTTTACATCCACATGAAGCTTGTACTTAAGCAACATTATGCACCACCCTAAACACTCGGTCATTTTCGTCTTTAATATCATAATACAAGACCCCTTGGTCATCCCGAACATTTAGAACTCGACAGCTAAAACATGCTGCACAAATCTCAGCTTGCACCAAATAAAAAACTGTAAGAGTATACACATATGCAGCATGTTTCTCCATAGACAGTGGTGTCTTCAAATCTGGAAAGCATGCCTCCGAGTCACTGTTGAGTTTATTAATAGAATAGCGTTGACTATCAATCGCACGATCAAAATGCATAAAAAATTCAACCAGGTTGGACTGAGGAGTAGTAAAAGAACCAAACAAACTATTCTCACTCTCCGACCGGGAAGTAGTCCTAATTAAACCATTCATACTAACATCACTAAAGTATGCAAGAATCCAAAGATGATGAAGATCATACATCTTGACAAACCAACTATGCTCCAACAACCCAAACTCCTCCATGACAACATTCCATTGATAATCAAATTCAGCTGGTTCCAAATAATGACTCCATACAACAGAATTCAACTTTGACCTAAAAGTCTCATTTTTACTCAATGAAGGGCCAACCTTATCTCCTACCTTAGACATAATGTGCCACATGTAAAACCTATGTTTAGCTTCCTTGAACACACGTGGAAATGCAACCCTCATTGCTGCATCTTGATCAGTAACAACCAATACTGGCTCACTACCCATCGCTTCCTTAAATTTCTCAAACAACCACACATATGACTCAATATTCTCTTTTGTCAACAACCCAGCCCCAAAAGTAATAGACTTTTTATGGTTATTAACACCAGTAAATGGTGTAAACACCATATCATACCTGGAAAAAAATGTAAAGTTTGTCAGAGAGTACATGCGCATTTAGTGTAGACTAGTTGCACCAATAAACATATATACTTGCATTATGACCAAAAATATGACCAATAACACAACAGAATATAAAACTTATGCCCTACACTACCAAAACTAACCTGTTTGTCTGATATGTAGCATCAAATGACACAACGTCACCAAAAAGTTTAAAATTCTACCTAGAAACCGCATCAACCCAAAAAAATCTGGATAAGTGGTCATATTCATCAACATCAAATGCAAAAAACAAAGTTGGACATACTTCTTTTTTTTTTAAGAAATTAGTCACAATCATCTGAGCATCAACCCCAGCAGAAAATGCGTCCACATCCCTTTTAATATTCCGAAATTCCAAACTTGTTGCACCAACATTTGCCAACCCACCAAACATCTCACCAAACAACCGAAAACTCTGCACTGGCCCAATGTTCATTTTCCACAATCAGCAACGAACCTCATATGACCATGTCCAACCTTTCTATTCATCTTCAGAAACTCTCTTGACATTACTGATGTCAATGAATGGTTATGACGCTCTTCAAACCTGTGAATAACATAAGTGCCATCACCTCCATATCTAAAAATAGCACAAGCCCCACACCTAACCCTATTTGAAAATCTCCTCCTCTTTTTAACCGAAGACTCCGCATCACCATCCAATTCTGCTACTGACGATTTATCCCTACAAACAACGTGCTTATGGCCCTCTCGATTACAAAGAACATACCTCCAAACAATGGTCCCATCAGCACATTTTGACAAGTGACTTAGTCGAACATCAAACCCAACAATCGATGCATATTTAGTATAAAATGCAACCCCAGTATCCAAATCAGGAAAAACCTTCCCAACAGACGGTTTAACTGAATCTTCACACAAAGGGATGTAATATTTTGTCAAACCAGGAGAAGTATCCAAACGATACGAATCCACTTCACCTGTGTGGACAAATGTACAACTACTGGTAATCTACCATAAACTATATATAATTAAACATTATTGCAAGTACATAAACCGTAGTGTGCAAGTAAATAATAAATACAACGCAATAAAATAACAAAAAAAAAAAAAAGCCTGGAATGCGGATGGAACAACAACTGTGTGTGCAATTATTCTAGCATTATATGCATGCAAATTCAAACTTCAATGCAAATACCTACAGAAACACAATGAATGATTTACAAATTCAACTAAACATGTGAGCCAGATAACAATAATTCATCTTAGACAATGAATATAAATATACCAGTATTGCAAGTACATAACCCATAGTGTGCAAGTAAAATAATATATACGATGCAACTAGGTAACAAAAAAATTGCATCCATTACAGATGGACCGACAATTATGTGTGCAATATTTCTAGAATTAGCTAAATGTAAATTAAACCTCCAATGCAGTTACCTACGGAAACACGATGACTGAATTACAAATTCAACTAAAACCAGTAACCAAGATACCAGCAATTCATCTTAAGCGATCAATATAAACAGACCAATTCCTGGCTCCATTGCGATCGTATGATACACAGATGATGAATGCCTCGGCAGAAGAAGAATTGCAACGCCTATGCAATCACCAGATTGAGCTTTTGATTTTGAATAATGAAGACGACGACTAATAAACAAGGATAGAATACAAATTTGGAAACAAACGCCTAAAAAGATAAGAATGTCCTTACAAACGGCAAAACACGAGAAAGTTAATACGAATGATGCTCGTTGGATGAACGCCGATCAACGGTTGTAATTAATTCCTATTTCCCGCCTGGGCGAGCCGTTCGCACCCGAGTGCAAGTCTATATATATATATATATATATATATATATATATATATATATATATATATATATATATATATATATATATATATATATATATATATATATATATATATGGAAGGGATCAGGTGCGGGAACGACTCCCCGTGCGGTTGTGGGGTTGGACGCACATTTAGCATTAAACTGACGCACTTTAAGTACACAACACACACACATTAAGCACACAAACAAAACACTTTAAGAACACAAATCACGCACCATAAGAACACAATCCACGCACTTTAAGCACATAACAAAGCACCTTAAGAACACAAACCACGCACCTAAGATTTTTAAAATGGTTCACTTTAAGTTTCACATAACTGACGCACCTTAAGCATACAAATAACGCACCTTAAGTATTAAAAAAAAAAAAAAAAAAAAACGCACATTAAGAAGGAAAATCACGCACCTAAGTTTCAGCAACTAATCACATTAAGCACAAATCAACGCACCTTAAGCACAAAACTCACGCACCTTAAGCACAAAACCCACGCACATTAAGCACAAAACTCATGCACCTTAAGTTTCAACAACTACTACTATTAAGTACACAACTCACGCACCTTAAACACAAAACTCACGCACCTTACGCACAAGACTCACGGACCTTATATACAAAATTCACGCACCTTAATCACAAAACCACTCACCTTAATCACAAAACCACTCACCATTATTTTTACCTAGATATAAAAAATTACTAAATCACCACCACGTTTTTTTTTTAAAAAAATTTTGATAATCTTGGATGTTGATTTAAGCAGAATCAATGGCTTTGTTTTAACCGCACAATCGCACCTGGGGCTGCCCACTGCACCTGAACATATATATATATATATATATATATATATATATATATATATATATATATATATATATATATATATATATATACATACATATATATATATATATATATATATATATACATACATATATATATATATATATATATATATATATACATATATATATATATATATATACATATATATTACGCTTTTTTTGTATTTTTCTCTGTTGGTCCCGGTAGAGTTGTAGCGAGAGTCTAGAGGGGGGGGGGGGGGGGTGAATAGACTCTTTTCGTGTTTTGCCAAAAAATAACCTTTCGGTGTTTTGGCACAGCGGAAATGTTAAGTCCGATTACTTGCTTTGCACGGATTCTCGTTATTAGGAAACTTTCGTGAGAGATGATATGATGCAGGAAATAAATGAAGTAAATGAGAGGATAAGGAGACGAGAATTTTTATAGTGGTTCGGCCAACTTTGCCTACTCCACTCTTCTTCCACAACTTATGGAAGGATTGCACTATCACTCGTTAGTACAATTACACAAAGACTTCCTTGATCACTAAGCCGGACAGTCTTTGTAGGTTTTTCAACTCCGCGGGTTTACTCCGCCTCTATCAACGTCTTCTTCAGAGTTGAGGTTGGTAGAAAATGATTTCTGATTTCTCCAACGTGATGAAGTCTTGACTGATGAGGAATGATTGCTTCGTACAAGTTGCAAGACTTCTTTAAGGTGTAAGATGAGTATCAATGAACTTCTTCAAGTATCCTTGCACCTTAACACTGGTTCACAAAAGCTTAAGAGAGCTGAGAGCGTTTAAGAGCTTTTGCTTATAGATAGATCGAGTAATAAGAACCAGCACCTTCTAAGTTGATGAAGGTGGGTTTATATAGGTGAGGAAAATTCCACCCGTTAGAGGGAGATGAAATTTTCAAACCTATTGTCCAGTGGGTAAGGACCGGAGCTTCCCGCATTAAATGCTCCGTTAATGAGGTTGTACCTTGTAGCCGTTGATGGCATGGAGAGCCTTAGGGGCCGTTTGGTTGAGGTCATCTAAGATTACCTAGGTAATCCGAGTCTGGTAATGTTATATTACCTTGTTTGGTTCAAGTTATAAGATTACCTGGTAATGTCATATTACCTGAAAGCTGATGTGGCGGTAATGTTTCAAGGTAATGTGATTACCCCTGTTTTTTAGGTAATCTTAGATTACCTTGAATTATTCCAACTTTGCCCTTGTTAACTAATCCTTATATAATAATAATAATAATAATAATAATAATAATAATAATAATAATAATAATAATAATAATAATAATAATAATAATAATAATGAAATTAATATATGTTTATATAATTGTGTATATTTATATATTTAGTTTTTTTTTTTTGTTATTGAGAACATATTTAGTTTTTTTTTTAATATTTAAGCATTGATATACATTCATACATATAAATAAATACACACACATTATATATATATATATATATATATATATATATATATATATATATATATATATTTATTTATTTATTTATTTATTTATTTATTTATTTATTTAAGGACATTATTGTAAATTGTTCCATATAACCTAAAATATAACCTTGAACCAAACAAGTTAATATTATATTACACCATCCAAACCAAACACACAAGGTAATCTTACATTTTCAGCATCTCACATTACCTTCCGGGAGGTAATCCTATTACCTGGGGTAATCCAAGATTCCGTGAACCAAACGCCCCCTTAGGGTTTTGTCCTTTAGCTTCAGGAAATAGTACATCTTCATTTAATGCTCCTTGGTATGCGTGTCCCACAAGTTGAGGTCCTTTTGTTCCTAGGATGTTGTTAAGTCAGACATCGGAGACATTCTTCTTGCTATTGATGAGAAGGAATGTCTTGAAGAATTGTCATCAATAAGACTGTCCTTTCGTACTAAGTGACAACTCCTAGTAAACTCTCATTGCAGTTGCTTCATGCTTCAGGTCTTGAACCTTCTTTTCGTCTTGATAGCCCTAATATCTAAGCATAACTCGTTTTCGTGTGTTTGACTAGCTTAACACGAATTACAATGTGAGTTATGGCAACTCTCGTCTAGGACGGAAGTAGCGATTTACAAATAACAAAGATTAGGGGTCTACTTTCTAGGTTACATTGGTATCATCAAAATCCTAATACAAGTGTTCCTAACATTCTCCAATAAAATCGTGATAAGTGATGGGAGTTCTATTCATTAAGAGTTTTTTTCACTGAGCATCACAAAGAAAAAATAAAAATAGTTAAATTGAATGATCGATCTAATAAATGACTTTTACATATATGCTTTCCTACCAATTCAATACATATATGTTTTCCTGCGAATTCAAATAATTCGTATATTAAAATGTGACCAATGAACCAGACAGAAAAAAAAAATGCATAATATATTGTTGTGGATCAAAACCTGTAAATGTTGACTAATTTCCGTCTGTTTCACTATTTATTAAATGCAAGTGCTAAGCAAAAATGGGATGCTTTATTAATATACAGATGAGATTAGATCATTAGACATTGAATTTTGTTAGCAAAAACGCATTTATCTCTTCTGCAAAAAAAAAAAAAAAAAAAAAAAAAAAAAAAAAAAAAAAACCTGAGTGCAGACGTGCAGTTATTATACTAAGTCTGTTACACGTGCTTATCGATATTTCTTAATTTTTTTAGTATGTATGGAGTAACATTTTTCTCAAGGTGGGTGGGGGCAAATTATTGTATGGACCATGGTCCGCATAGTGTTGTATGGACCATAAAAGAAAGTAAATTTTTAAGGTATTAAAAGTACATTATATAAAATAATGTATATTTAGTATTTGAATAATGTATTTTTCTTAATGTTTGATGGGTGGGTGGGTGGGCCGTGGGGGTATAGGTTTGGTACTGTGGATGGATGTATATTATTTGTGTACTGAGTGTACATTATATTGTATAATATACATTCAGTACACAGATAATGTACATTTAGTATATTAAAATGTACTTTCTATTATGGTCCAGACAGCACTGTGTGGACCATAATTAGAGGTAGAAATACACAACCGAATTGGTTAGTCGAGACAAATTATATCGTGCACTAGGGTGCATAATGCATTGCGCGCCTTAAGAATTTATGTGTATTATGTTAAGAGTTTATGTGTATTATGTGAAGAGTTCATGTGTATTATGTATTATGTTAGATTATGTACATTATGTTAGGAGTTTATGTGTATTCTATTATACAATTATATACATACAAAATATGAGATTTTTAGGGCGCACAATGCATTGTATGTCGTGGTGCATGATATAACAATTGATTAATCGAGGGATTCCTTGAAGCGGTCTGTAGCAGTCGGCTCTCCGATTTCCCGTTAAGTGGGCACCAATTCACTTGGGAGAAATCGCGTGGCAAGCCGGATTGGATTGAGGCCAAGTTGGATACAGTTTTTGTTTCTAATATGTGGAAAGACAAATTTAGGGATGCTGAAGCTCACACCATTGTCTCCTCAAAGAGTGACCACCTCCCAATTCTTCTGAAGGTGGTGCACGTAGAATGCACTAGTACCCCAAGAGATTCAGGTTTGAAAACTTATGGCTCCAAGAGTCCTACTGTTGTGAGGTTGTCATCGAAAGCTGGGAGTCTACGCATGGGATGGATGTTCTTAATCGTATTCTGCTTTGCAATGAAGCAGTGTGGAATTGGTGTATGGTTTTCACGATAAATTTTCGTAGAAGGATTGATTATTGGATTAGACTATGGACAACATGAAGAGGAGGACTGATCAGCGGGCAAACAGCGAGCAAATTATGCCCTGGACCCATTGTGGACACGGGCCCAAAACGACGTCGTTTTTAAAAAAAAAACACGTCATTTAGTTAAAAGAAAAAAAACTCGCGCTCGTTTTACCGTTAACGGCGTTATTTTTTTTTTTGGATTATGAATGTACAGTTATGCCGTTATGAATGTAGAGTTATGCTGTTATGAATGTATAGTTATGCAATTATGAAATTATGAACACAGAGCTCTAACATTATGAACTTACAATTATGAACATATAGTGATAACATTATGACCATGGAGCTTTAAAATTGTGAATATAGAGCTTCGAAGATTATGAATGTACAGTTATGGAGTTATGAATGTACAGTTATAGAGTTATGAATCTACAGTTATGGAGTTATGAATCTACAGTTATGAGATTATGAATCTACAGTTATGGAATTATGAATGTACAGTTATTGATCGAATTATGAACAAAGAGCTCTGACATTATGAACTTACAATTATGAACATATAGTGATAAAATTATGAACATAGAGCTCTAAAATTGTGAACATAGAGCTTCGAAAATTATGAATGTACAATTATGGAGTTATGAATGTACAGTTATGGAGTTATGAATGTACAGTTATAGAGTTATGAACGTACAGTTATGGAGTTATGAATGTACAGTTATTAACATATAGTAATAAAATTATGAACATATACTCCTATAACGAAGCGGTCTGAATTTAAAAAATAAAAAATAAAAAAATAAAAAAATAAAAAAAAAAAAAAGAAGAAGAAGAAGAAGAAGATAACAGTGCTTAACGGCACTGTTACCCGTGTCCAGCATGCATGCTGGACACGGGTCCAACGCATAACGATTGCTGATCAGCGTGGCTGCCTGCTTTTTAAAGAGGCTCAATTCTACCGTTTCAAAGCCCTAGAATAGCAAAATGCTTATTGGAGGCAGCGTGCCAAAGAGTTATGGCTCAAGTGTGGAGATCAAAACAAATCTTTCTTTCATAATGCCGTTTGTAGAAGGATGCAGAACAATCAAATTGATAGGTTCAAGGATCACAGAGGGGGATGGAATGAGAAAGGTACTGCTCTAAATACTTTGATGCTCAATTATTTTCAAGGCCTATTCCAGTGTAATCAACAGGTTTAGACTTCAATTCTTAATTCTCCAGAATCTGTTATATCTCAGTCCCAAAATGTTTGTTTAGCCAATAGGTTCACCCACAGGAAGATAAAATGTGCATTATTTGATATGAAACCGGATAAGTCCCCGGGTCCAGACGGGTCTCCCCCTAACTTTTTTCAACAATATTAGGATATAGTAGGCAGGGATATATAAGATTATGAACTGTATGAATTTAATTAACACAAACAACAAGCTATAAATAGCATACAAGGGAGAGAAGCTAGCAGGTGGTTAGTAGGAAGTTGTAACCACCAGTTTAATACTGCTATATTAAAGGAGAATAATTAAAACTAAATAGAGACAAAATGTATCAGCCACAAGTATCCTTAATACGCCCCCGCAAGATAAAGGATCCATCGGAGACTCCAATCTTGGAACGGAAAAGCAGAAACAACGAACGGCCTAACGGCTTGGTGAGAAAATCAGCGAGCTGAGCCGACGAAGAAATGTGCCGAACCACCAACTAACCATTAGCAACTAAGTCCCGAACAAAAAAATAGTCGAGCGCGAGGTGCTTCATGCATGAATGAAACACCGGATTTCCACACACGTACGTAGCGCTAAGATTGTCACAATGCAGAACCGGAGGCTTCAACAGTCGCGTCTGGAGCTCATGCAGCAAATTCTTGACCCACAGAACCTCTGCAGCGACGTTTGCTAAGGCTCAATACTCGGCTTCCGTAGACGAACGGGAAACCGACTTCTGACGAGTGGACTTCCAGGAAACAAGATTGGACCCAAGATACTGTAGATAAGTTGTAGTGGACCGCCCACTGGAGGTGCAACCACCCCAGTCAGCATCTGTATATACACTTAGCGACAAAGGTTGCCCAGCACGAAGGTACAGCCCATGACACACCGTACCCTTTAGGTAGCGCAACAACCGCTTGGCAGCCTGCCAGTGTACCTCCGTAGGCATATGCATGAACTGTGAGAAACGGTTAACTGCATAGGCCACGTCAGGTCTAGTGATGACCAAGTACTGCAGCAGGCCAAGTAGACGCCGAAACTGAGTCACATCTACCGCAGCGCTACCAGCTTCCGCCGGGAACAACTTATCTGTGTTCGCCAGTGGTGTTGAAACAGCCTTTGCACCATCCATCTTAAATCGCACCAATATGTCTGTTATATATTGACTCTGAGACAGGAACATGCCATTAGGAGTGGAAACCACCTCAACACCTAGAAAGTGATGTAAGGAACCAAGGTCCTTAAGAGCAAACCGGGCAGACAGAGTTTTAACAAACTTGTCAAGCCATGCAGTATCGTTTCCTGTTAATATAATGTCGTCCACATACACCAGAAAATAGATAATAACATTATTAGCGGAATAAATAAATAATGACGCATCTGCTTGTGATTTCAAAAACCCACAACGCAATAAAAATTGGGAAAGCTCCAAGTACCAAGCCCTAGGAGCCTGCTTGAGACCGTATAAGGCTTTAGTCAGTTTGCAAACATGCGTTGGGAATGAGGGATCGACAAACCCTGGCGGCTATTCCATTATCCGAGTAAAGAGAAATAATTGAAAGACCAAAGTATTTCTCCACTAACTGTTTGAACTGCTTAAATATGGGAAAGACATCAGACTTACGTTTCATGGGATACAACCAGATATATTTCGAGAAATGGTCCACAAAAATAACATAATAGAAAAACTCAATAACATATTTCTCAGTAGGTCCCCACACATCAGTATAGATTAATTGCAGAGGTTTGGTGCTAACAAGTGTAGTGTTGGAGAAAGACAGTTTATGGCTTTTATGCATATTACATGAAGAATAGTAAAACTGTCGCAGAGATGACATAGAGACTGGAACATTACAGCGTTGTAACACAAGTTGCAACACCGTATTAGATGGGTGGCCAAGTTGCTGGTGCCACTGAGATAAACGAGACACCTGCGTAACATGAACTGCTGGATGAGGATAAACTGGTCCATAGTAGACACCATTACTTTTCGCCCCCTGTAACAATGGAACCCCCGTTCGAAGATCCTTGACAAAAAAATGTGAATCAAAGAATTCAACGGACACACGATTAGACTTGCATAGTTGGGATATAGAAACTAAGCTAGTGTGTAACCGTGGGACACGCAAGACATTATCAAGAGTGAGAACAGTAGAGGAAGTGGGAATGCTAGACTGACCAACATGCGTTATTGCTAAGGAATTACCGTTGCCCAAGTGGATTTCATCTGGTCCACTGTACTCGGAGAAAGTGTGCAATGGATCAACGCTTGGTGTGGCATGGTGGGATGCACCACTATCAAACATCCAGGGAAGCAGACGGCCTGACCACCGAATTAGCCATAGGAGACATAGGAGGTTGCACAAGAGGAACATTATGCTCCTTTAAAAACCTGGCTAGCTTACGGCACACTCTTGTTTCATGACCTGTAAGATGACAGAACTTACAGACAGTACTTGAGCGTTTTGGATTTCCTTGTCGCCAATTCTGTTTGTTGGAGCTGTAACGAGTGTTATTGCTGCGAGCTCATCGGTTGGAATCGGTGTGCTGGTTGTGCCGCGAGGGTGGCAAGGCACGTTGCAAAACATTAGCAGAGGCCACTAAAGACGATGCAATTCATCCACACCCTTCAATTGGCGTTCATGGTCAGTCAGCACTTCTGGTAACTCGCCAAAGGACATAGGCTTTTCATGGACGCGAATAGCCGATATGATAGAATTGTAATCCTCCCCCAACTGCGTCAATATGTAGACGATTAGATCGTCATCAGAGACAGGACACTGAGCCAACGCCAGATCATCGGCTATGGCTCGCATGTCATTGAGGTAAATAGCGATGGACCGAGAACCTCTCGGGTTTTTAGTTAGTTTTGCCTTGAGGGAAATAATGCGTCCTCTAGAGGCACTGGCATAACTAGCAACCAGACGTTGCCTTGCATCATAAGCTGTCGTAGCAGATGAAACGAGTGGTTGTATTGTGTCAGTGCAGCTGCCCAGAAGTGCACCAACAATGATTTGGTCCTGACTGTACCAAGTTAAATGTCTTGGGTTGGGAACGGTTCGAGCAGGATCCGTGTATTCGGTGGGTTCCTTGGTGGAACCGTCAATATAGCCCAGGAGGTTGAGACCAACAAGGGTAGCATGAACTTGTCGGCGCCAAACTGGAAAATTGATGGTAGTGAGTTTAATGGGAAAGTGTGTGGGAGCATTGAGTTGGATGATTTCATTGGTGGTAGTAGAAGCCATCAGAAAAAAATAAAAAAAAAAAAAAAAAAAAAAAAAAAAAAAAAAAAAAAAAGGAGGAGAAGTTGTTTCGTAGGAGAAAGCTAGCTCTTGATACCATATAAGATTATGAACTGTATGAATTTAATTAACACAAACAACAAGCTATAAATAGCATACAAGGGAGAGAAGCTAGCAGGTGGTTAGTAGAAAGTTGTAACCACCAGTTTAATACTGCTATATTAAAGGAGAATAATAACTAAATAGAGACAAAATGTACCAGCCACAAGTATCCTTAATAGGATATATTGTTGAATTTTGTTGAGAATTTTAGATTATCCAAGACCCTCCCACCTAGAGCAAATGATACCCAAATCTGCCTTATTCCTAAGGTCGCCAAACTAGAATCTAACAAATCTAATAAGAACTAATAAAGTTACGCTCTTTAACGGAAACAAAAAAAAATGTTGGTGTAATTATTTATTGAAATGAATGGTTCATATTATTTTTATTTTAGTATTTTTTTTAATGATTTTTCTTATTTACCTTTTATTATATTAGTTTCTTCCCTTAAATAACACTGCATTCCGTTAAAATAAATTTTAGTAACGGATTAGAATATTCCGTTAACTGTTTATTATTCCTAACTTACTCATTAGTTTCTACCTATAATTGTTAAACATATACTACGAATATGTTTTTTTTTAAAATACAATATACAATTTAACATAAACTTTGGTCAAATAATTAGCTTGACTAAATACATAGCATTCAAAGTTGAACATTATTATAAATCATGAACCTTGAAATTCATTTTCTTGCATTTAAAAAAAAAAAAAAAAAACTAATTTACATATGCATTTAATTACTTTAGAATTAGATGTCTATAATGTCTTTATTCTAAAAAATTAAGTCATTATAAAAAAAATTAAAAATAAATATAATTTCATTAGTTATATTATCTTTATTTTCTACAATTCAAAGATTCCTCATCTTCAAATTCATTAATTAATTATATTCACTACATTGTTCATTGTCTTCTTTTTACACTATCTTTTAATTAAATATCAAAGTTATAATATAAAATAGGTTATACATTTATTTGCCAAATATTTTATAAAAAGATAATAAATATTAACATTTTGTTTAATACTTTTACATGATAATCTTCGACACAAATCTCACAACACATGAAACATGTAGGGGAAAAACTACCGCAGTCAAATATCAACAGGCGCTTGCAGTGATAAAAAGTTCATTGTACAACTAAGATCGTCCAATCATATACATAGCAAGGCAAATCTAAAACTTCCTACACCATAATCTCATTGCATGAAATTGCCCTCTATGCTACCACCAATAACCCAACTACACATGACACACTACTAATAAAAAAGAAGAGGACATGTATTGAAGATGAAGACAATGACAATGCTACCCAAAAGAGAATTAAGAAGACTTATAAAAATTTAAACCAAAAGTAATATTTATTTAGACTATGATTTTTAGACTAAGTATTTAGACTAGCGCTATTACAAAGTTGCAAACATTTATTTTATTGACAATTATAATCAATCTCTCATATATTATCTTGCATTTATATACAATATTCAATAACTACCCATGCATGAACGTCTCTATATAATTTTGCATTGATATATATACTTTGAATTACTTATTTAAAAATAATCATAGGACATTATCTTATTCGCGCAATGCGCATGAAAAATCTAGTAAGATAATATAAATGTTACTATCTCCTACAAAATAAATAAATAAATAAATGAAGTATGCGGGGGGTTGCTTATTACTTAATTGATTGTACGTGGCCGTGCAAAATACTACTAATTGAAGTGGATATTTGTATAACTCATCTTATTCTAATTACGTGTTTGATTAGATTATCATGTTGACTCAAAAGCAATTTACTTTTTTATATTAATTAATTTAATGTTATAGAATAAAATTTATATTTTTAAAATTTGTATTAAAATATTTATTAAATACATAGATTTAAAAGTGACACCAAATCACAGAGTCAGTGGTACTCCAAAAAAAAAAATTAAGAAAATATTAAATAAATTAAATGCATAATGAAAATTAATGTTGACCTTTACAGAAAATATAGAGTGATAATTGGAATCATTGAGCTTGATAACAGAATTAAGTTTCAATTCTAGCCTTTTTTTATGTTATTGTTTTTTTTTTTTTTTTTTTTTTGGTTTTGATGGAGCTGATACAGCCGTTATAAAGTGAAATTAATTGACCTTGGACAAATTCATCAAGGTGTTAATTACTCAATTTTTAGACAATTAGCTGGTGCTAAAATTGCAAAGGAAGTTTGGGTATCTTAAAGGTGTCACACAAAGGAATCGATTGGGCATAGAAATTCAAGTTGTAGTCGTTGAGAAAGTTGTATATATGATCAATGTGAGATGACCTCTACAAAAACGGTAGATATGTATTTCTTTCATCTTATTGATCTTGTGAATAAGATAAGATTATCTGGAGACACTATTGAAAATGGTGCAGTGGTTCTTCGAACTATGCCGATGAAGTATGACAATGTGGTGGCTTCAATAACAGAGTCACATGATATCGAGCTCTTATCAATTGCAGAACTGAAAGGTATGATAGAAAGTCATATTGATAGGATTGCATCAAAATCGGAACCACTAGCTGAAGAAGCTTTGAAGAGTAAAGTCACCCTTAACATAACTGACTCTAATCAAAGAGGTGGACAATTTGGTAGAGGTCGTGGAAGAAGAAGAGGAGGATCTAGAGGAAGCTAAGAAGACATGGTAACTACAATCAAGGAAGAGGACGAGGTAACTCCAACAAAGGAAGAGGTGAAGGTAATATCAAACAAGGTAAATTTCCATTTCATTGCTACAATTGTGGCAAGTAGGGGCACAAAATTGCATATTGCTAGTATAATGAAAATAATCGTGGAAATCAAGCAAACGTTGCTTGAAAGTTTGGTGAGAGTTATATTGAACCTGAAACCTTATTTTTTGCTAGTAACAGTTTGTCTACAGATGAAAACATATGCTTCTTGGATACTAGGTGCAGTAACCATATGTGTGGGAAAAAAGAATTGTTTTCCAAACTAAATGAATCAGTCCAATCTGAAGTGACATTTGACAATATGTCAAAACTGTCAATTTTGGGAAAACATAAAATCTCTATTCAATTGAAAGATGGTACTTGCAATTTTATATCCAATGTTTTCTATGTTCCTAAACTACACAAAAATTTGTTGAGTATGGTGCAGTTGTTAGAAAAAAAAAGATATAAAATAAATATTACTCAAGTTGTTGTACCATTGTTTATGTTAAAAGAGTTCTGTTTCTAAATTAAAGGTAAATATGTCTCAAAATCAACTATTTTCTTTGAAAATCAATCATGCACTTCTTGCTTGCTTTAATTTTGAGATGTGTGATGATAATTGGTTATGGCATATGCGGTTTGAAATTTTCATTTAATTTCTCGGGAATAACTTACCTAGCAAGAAAGAAACTTGTTTCTAATTTGCCGATTGTTAATGTTCCTAATAATATTTGCGAGATTTGTTTGGTTGGGAAGAAGCATAAAGAACCTCTTCCTATAGGCAAGTCTAAAAGAGCCACAAAACAATTGGAGACTGTTCACTCAGATCTGTGTCCATTGGAAATTTTCTCAAATGGAGGTTGTAAGTACTTTGTTACTTTCTGTGACAATCCAAAAATTAATTTTATAAATCGGTTTTAAGGAAATCCAAAATAGCCAATTTTGACTCCATAAAATTTTTTATGCGATAAAATCGGTGTTTGAGAAAATTATTTTTAACCACTCTTAAATAAATTCAACACTAGGACTTATTGTAAATCTAAAATCCTAATTTTTGGGTACATCGCGTAACAAGATTTTGATCCAAAAATCAATCTAAGTGAAACCGGGAGAATTCTGAGAAGCTCAAACCAAGTGTTCAACTAGAAATCATTTTGGAAAAATTCCTTTTTCAACCCCAAACAATTTAAAATAACAAATCTAGCCCTTGGTTCATGAAGCTTGGTGGACCACACCACTCCAAAGTTGTCTGATAACTCCTTTCTAGCCAAGTTATTACATTTTTGCCACCAACCTGTTATATGGAATCAACCTAGAGTTTTGTACACCTATATATTGATCCCTTATTAGACTTAACCTCTTGTTTCCACCCTTGAGCTCCCCTGCAAGAAACAAGTTAAGCACAGTAGGAGGTGAAGGGGGTTGTAGCTAGCTGAAAAGGGAGGTGGAAACCGATCTAGAAGGAGATAAAGCTACAAAAGTATAACCCATGGACTCCCAAGCTTTTTTACAAGACTCTATGAAGTCTTTGATGAGTAGAAATGAGTAGAAATGCTATATATATATATATATATATATATATATATATATATGTGTGTGTGTGTGTGTGTGTGTGTGTGTGTGTGTGTGTGTGTGTGTGTGTGTGTGTGTGTGTGTGTGTGTGTGTGTGTGTGTGTGTGTGTGTTGTATTTGAGATATTAAATGATCTATTACTTGTCTATGATGTGTTGTTGATGTTTTGGATGAGTTAGAAATGCCTGAGCTAATTTTGCAAATGAGAAGAAACAATTTGGTGCACAGACTGTGTGCACCAGTAGGTTGACCGGTCCCAGCCAACGGCCCAACAAGGGGACCGTTGGTTAAGGCTGTTGCCAACCGGGCCTAGGGAACGGCCCTAGGAAAGGGTCGTTGCCTAGAGTCGGTGGCTAGGCGGTCTGAGGGGCGGGCCTAATTGAGCCCCGCCCCAAGCTCTGAGTGTCTCCAATACAATGGCCGGGCCCTTGTGGCTCAGCTACGTATCGTTTCGGACGGCGTGTCATGGGCCCTTGTGGCTCGGTACCTCGGGGCCATTTTGACGCACGTTTTGGCTTTGATTTCGTTGTGTTTGGTTAAGTTTTGAGCTATTTATGAATGTTTTTGTACAAGAAAATGTTGCAGAAGTATTTGGAAATGTTCTCTGCTTTTAAGTTTGTGAG